GATTTGGGGAATTTGGAATTTGGGGAATTTGAGATTTGGGGAATTTGGAATTTGGGGAATTTGGGATTTGGAGAATTTAGAAATTTTGGGATCTTAGGATCTAGGGATTGTGGGATCTCAGAATCTGAGAATCTAGGGATATAGTGATCTAGGGATCCAGAGTTCTAGAAATCTAGTAACTTCACCAATTTTAAGAATCTATAAATCTATTAAATTCACCAATTTGAAGTATCTAAAAATTTAGCAATACAAAAACTTGCATGCCATATATCCAAAATGCAATATAATTAGATAGCCTCCTAACGGTGACCGCAAATTATCCGATTTCCACGTATTATCAAGCATTCCCCCTAATTTCCTCAATTTTTCCTCGCGAAGGAGCACTAGCCGAGATTACGAGGCGCTTCACCGCAAGCCTTCCGGTAGCCGAGCGACAAGGTTATGCCGAACGTAGCGGGAAATCTGGTAGAAAATTATACGAGTCGAAAGGAGGGAAACGCAAGAAAGGCTCCTTTAATCTCTTTAAGTGGAATCGTAAGGGAGAAGGATCTTTTGGTTTCCGTCAACCGTTACCCGAGCCGCGAACACGGAGTCGGATGTAATTGCTCGACGGTAATTACACGGCTGTTAATTGCTTCGCGAGAGCAAAGACAAGTGCCGGGTTTCGACGTTCGAGGTCATAGCACCTGGTAATTCTAACATTTCCATCCCTCCCCCGTACCACCACTCGTGTAAATTCAATTATTCTATTTTTACGTCCCGACGCTCGCGAAATTGAAAGCTTCCGCCATTCCGTTACCAATTACCACCATTGATTTCATTTCGCGTTTCAAAGCTGCGGGCTTCTCAACGAATTTTCATTTGTATCCTGGTATTTTCGTTTGCCAGATACGATTTACGGTCTACGAACTTTTGTGTTGGCCGTTGAGAAATATTTAATGGGGTTTTTAATTGATTCAACGTTTTCACTTTTTGCTGGGCTTTTGGAGTGTTTGGTGGTATGAGGTTCCTAAAACCTAACCTTACTGACCACTTTATTGCATCGTACTTTAAAAGAGTTTCTAGTAGTATGATGTTTGTAAAACCTGACCTGAAGTAACCTTTTTACTGTGCTGTACTTTTAGACTGTTTAGTGGTATGATGTTCCTAAAACCTAACCTAACTGACCACTTCACTGTACCGTACTTCCAAAGAGCACTTAGTGGTACGATGCTTGTAAAACCTGACCTGAACTAACCTCTTTACTGGGCTGTACTTTTAGAGTGTTTAGTAGCATGATGTTCTTAAAACCTAACCTAACTGACCACTTCACTGTATCGTACTTTTAAAGAGTTTCTAGTAGTATGATGCTTGTAAAATCTGACCTGAACTAACCTCTTTACTGTGCTGTACTTTTAGAGTGTTTAGTGGTACGATGTTCCTGAAACCTAACCTAACTGACCACTTTACTGCGCCGTGCTTTCAAAGAGTATTTAGTAGTATGACGTTCCTAAAACCCAACCTAACTGACTACTTTACTTTACTGTACTTCTAAAGAATATTTAGTGATGTTATGTTCGAACAACCTAACCTAACTGACCACTTTACCACACTGTACTTTCAAAGAGGTATTTATGTGATGTTCACAAAACCTAACCTAACATAGTTCCTTCACAGTGCTGCATTTTCAAAGAGCATCGATAATTTTTGGTACAATGTCTGTAAATTTTGAAGCTGTTAAAAATGCAGGAATATTAAAACTGTTTTTGATATCACACTTGTAAATTAGGGTGCATTTATAACAATATATGTTAAACATTAAATTTATCATTATTATTCTACACGATATAAGTAACTAAAAAATAAATGACTGACTCCTATTAATTATTATGTTCAAGCTGTGAATTAAAAGTGCACCTGTTTTTATCAAAGTCTTTATTTCTGCAATCATACTATGATCTTCATATTATAAGGGTACTTCATATTATATCCTATGAACTTTTAGTTCTTTAAGCAAAAGATATGCATCAAATTTAAAAGCAAGATTAAATTTTAGATTACACATTACTGTAAATTATACAGTACTTAAAGTACACCTGTACAGAATATTTCTCCCATATCTCACGTCTTAAATATTATAATTTCAAATGCAATTATCACAAGGTAAAAAATAAATTAAGGTTTAATATTCTTAAAAGTTTGCTTTGATAAGGTAGTGATTTACGTTGCATTGAGTTTTTAAGCTCAATGCATTAAGCTTTAAAACTCAATGCAACGTAAATAATTTAAAGAGATTTTCAAAGTTCGGGTGACAACTTTGAACTTTGGTTTTTACTCACCTGAGCAACCTAGCTTCCCGAGTGCTACTGCAACTGGTGCCAGATGATGTGACACTGTTGATGCTTTTGCTACGACGACTTTTTAACGAATCACCGAGGTTGTAGACCCCGTTCGCTGTTATGGAAAACGATCTTAGCCTGTAATATTCGACGCCATCTTCGGTTTCACCCTCGTCGGCCCCGTTGGCGCCACCGCGTTTCGTTTCGGCAAGCATCGGCTGCAACCATAACGATACGCTTCTGTTTAACCCTTGTACAAGGTCACTTATAAGGTCACTTTGACCCATCTTAATTCATCTCATCACAGAACGTATAAAATTTAATTGTATGTTCAAGATATTTGGATATTTGGATATTTCTTCAAGGTGGAAGATTCGAAAAAATAAGATGGTTGAACAAATTGTTAAAAAGGCTAAAAAAATTGTTACAAGGTTAAAAGTTAATTTGTTAAAAATTTTGTTATTGTCGGTATATTTAATTAAATACTCGAGGTAATACTATATATGTTTTGTATTATAATGTTCATGTTTATTTATTTTTAAGCGAGTTTCTTTTTTTCGAATTTAAAACTAAAATACAAATTTAGAAAATACTGTAACAAGTAACAAGTGTTAATATTTATATTTAATTTCTTTTATTTCCTTTAACTATCAAAACTTGAAGAAACTATAACGTTTGATCTCCGGAACATTTTAATTCCTCAATTTTTAAATCCTACCAACGCAATCAAATTTGACTACGAAAAGCAGTTAAATTCCAGAACAGAGAATATTAAATCGTACAGAGATTCGTCGAAAATACGCACAGGAATATTTCATGTAAATAAAGAATAACCTTTCCGCGTTCAATTTCAACTGTCACATTTGATTCACTTACGTATCTCATAACAGAAAGAGTTCATCTTGAAGCAAGAACGTATAAAAGATGAAAGTAAACGTTTGTAAAACGGAAACGTGATATTATGTATGAAATAACTCTCTCCCTTTGTTGTGAAATAAATTTCGAGCTTCTTTTGCAAAGTAGGTTATTGATTTTTTGTTATTTTTCATTCTCGAAATACCCTTCGCGTTGTGACCTTTCTTTATCGAGGAAGCACCGCGTTATTTGTCTGCGAAGGGTTTCGCGCTCTGTGTAGGGATTCTTAGTTCCTATCACGTTTTCAAAAGAATCTTCAGTTATCATTATTCGAACTTTTATTGGTTCTGTGTTATGTTCGGATCTGCTTTGTGGAAGGTTATGATTAGTGGATGTACGGTGTATGTAGGAAAAGTAATGAGACTTTTTAAATTTGAGGAAAACTGGTGCCATTTGTTAAAACAATACGTTACCTGAAAGCAGTACATTTTCCCTACAAAACACAATAATCATTATTGGAATCGAGCAAAGAATTGTAAACTTATAGCGTTTAATGCGACAGAACCTTTCGTCATCGTATCACAAAATCAAAGACAAGTGCAACAAATTGCGGGCGTTGAATATTGCAAGGATCTTATCGAAACAGCTAGACGAAACTGTACACTTGTAATTGAAACTTGGGAACTTGAGAGAACTTGAGAGCACTTGAGAGAACTTGAGAGAACTTAAGAGCACTTGAGAGAACTTGAGAGAACTTGAGAGAACTTGAGAACGTGGAGACTTGAGAACTTAGAAACTTGAGAACTTGAAAACGTGGGAACTTGAGAACAAGGTAAATTGAGAACTTAAGAACTCGAGAATATGGGAACTTGAGAACGTGGGAACTTGAGAACGTGGGAACTTGAGAACGTGGGAACTTGAGAACGTGGGAACTTGAGAACGTGGGAACTTGAGAACGTGGGAACTTGAGAACGTGGTAACTTGAGAACGTGGGAACTTGAAAACGTGGTGAACTTGAGAACGTGGGAACTTGAGAACGTGGGAACTTGAGAACGTGGGAACTTGAGAACGTGGTAACTTGAGGACGTGGGAACCTAAGAACTTGAAAACCTAAGAACTTGAAAACCTAATAACTTGAGGACCTAAGAACTTGAGAACTTGAAGACCTAAGAACTTGAGAACTTGGGAACTTGAGAACTTGAAGACCTAAGAACTTGAGAACCTAAGAACTTGAGAATCTAGGAACTTGAGAACGTAAGAACTTGAAAACCTAATAACTTGAAGACCTCAGAACCTAAAAACTTGAAAACTTGAGGCCTTGAAGAATCCAAAACTGAAAAAATTCGTCAATACCAGAACATCAATAATTTCATCAAGTTCTTAGACTTCACTAAATCAATCTCACCCAAAAATTAATGAGAAATTTTCACGTATGAAGTAGCAGGTTAATTTCGGCTGTAGACCGAATATTTCGTAGAAAAGAGGTTCCAGTATGTTCAGTTTCGTGAAATTATTTCCTCATCTCGTGCAGGTTAATTTCGCAGCACGTGCGCTTTATTTGTAGCGCACGATGAGAGAGAATCGCGTCGCGTTTCCGAACAAAAGCACCGGGAATAGAAGCGTATTGCATAAATCCCTGCTGAATTTTCACGCTCGAACTCGATACGAATATCAGCGTATAGCTTTCGATTTTACCATCGATTAAACCTTTGTTATCCGACATTCTAACATTCGACGATACGTAACAAATAAACTGAATTCGAAAAAAATTGCTCGGGCAGAAAATCGAATTCGGGTTATGGATTTTTAAGTTAGGTACTTGATGACTGGTTTTGTTATGATTTTATATTTTATTATTTTTAATTGGGAAATTCTCAAGTTTTTAAGTTTTCGAATTTGTAAATTCCCATATTTCCCAATACCCACGTTCCCCAATTCCCACGTTCCCTAATTCCCACGTTCCCCAATTCCCACGTTCCCTAATTCCCACGTTCCCCAATTCCCACGTTCCCTAATTCCCACGTTCCCCAATTCCCACGTTCCCTAATTCCCACGTTCCCCAATTCCCACGTTCCCTAATTCCCACGTTCCCCAATTCCCACGTTCCCTAATTCCCACGTTCCCCAATTCCCACGTTCCCTAATTCCCACGTTCCCCAATTCCCACGTTCCCTAATTCCCACGTTCCCCAATTCCCACGTTCCCTAATTCCCACGTTCCCCAATTCCCACGATTCCCCAATTCCCACATTCTCCAATTCCCACATTGTCCGACTCCCACATTCACCAATTCCCAATTCCCACATTCTCCAATTCCCACATTCCCCAATTCCCAGGTTCCCCAATTCCCACATTCTCCAATTCCCACATTCCCCAATTCCCAGGTTCCCCAATTCCCACATTCTCCAATTCCCACATTGTCCGACTCCCACGTTCACCAATTCCCACGTTCCCCAATTCCCACATTCCCCCATTCCAACATTGCCCAATTCCCACATTCCCTAATTCTCACATTCCCCAATTCCCACATTTCCCAATTCCCACATTCCCTAATTCCCACAATGTCCAACTCCCACATTGTCCAATTCCCACATTCCCCAATTCCACCTTCCCCAATTTCTAAATCACCAAATTCCAGAAATCCAAGCCCCTAATTTTCCAATAATCAAAATTCCCAAATTCCTAAATCTTCCCCCAAAAGCTGCCCACATTAAAACTAAATAATCACCACGTTAAATCATTCAGTCAGTTAAATCATAACAGTTCGTGCATTCGTTTCGCGAATATTTGTACGCACATGTGAACAGCCCTTAAGTCGGTCAGTGCCGTCCACGGTGAAGTACTCGGCAATATATCGCGGCCTGTCAACGGCGATAAACGTCAAACGGCACTGTTATCGTCCATGATAACTTATTAACAAAGAATTCCGAAAGTATCGAAAGATTTCGGCCAGTAATCCGCCGTTTCGAGGAAGGTGAAAGGACGGCGATGTTGCACACGATCGAGAGGGTCGTCGCGTCAATCGTCGAGTCCAGTCGCATCGACGCTTCATTCTGGTGAACGACCCTTAACCTTTACTCACTTACGTCCAACCCCTTCTCGCGAACATTCAACCAGCCTTCATTTCAACAACGTTTCACTTTTCATCGATTACGTATTCCTTGTATCATTTGCACGATTCTGGGAATTCTAGCGAGTTTGTGGAATGTTTCAGTTATGAGTTGGTGTGACATACATATTTCTTTAGTAATATTTAGATTGAAATAATGGGGAATTGTCACCCTTTTTGGAGATTGAAAATATAAGTCTGTTAGGTTTATTAATTTAGATTTGCAGATTGTGTTTTAGATTTATTATATTTATTTTAAAATATGTTTTAGATTTATTTAGATTATACGTTTGGGTTTATGGATGGAGTTTGTGGATTTATGGACTGGATTTTTAAATTTTGATTTATTGTTTGGGTTTTTAAATTTTGTTTCGTGGATTGAATTTTTAAATTGAGGTTTGTGGACATTTAATTTTGACAAATTTATTTAATCCTTGACTCGAAAAATTTCCTCCAATGAAACTTTAGGTACTAATTAAAAAATTTACAACCATAAAACCTCCAAATAGAAATTTAACCTTTACAAATTCGAAAATCTGCTCTCTATTCGACCAGAAATTTAACTTTGTCGATTCAGAGAATTTGACCCTGGAATTGAACCCTGACCCATTCGAAAATATATCCTCAGTTCGTCTAACACTTCAACCCCTCCTAAAAGTTTACATTATTCTAATAATAATCACGAACGCCCAAGTGCTATTATGCAACGCTCTATAAATGATCCGAAAATACATTCCTTATAACAAGATATTATTAAAAAAAAAAAGCAACAAGTGTTTAAGTTCTTACAAAAAATAATGACACGAAAGAGAACAAACACAACTTGAAGTTCATTATTCTGAGAATGAAGTTTCTAGTGACATCCTATTGTGCAGTTCACAAAAGAAAAAAAAAAAGAAACAATCTAGGGCAACCCTGTATCTTTCCTGTCTTGTCTCACTAAGGTAATGAGACGTAGGAGATGGAGTATGCTGAAATATGATGAAAATGCGTTGTTTATAACAAGGATATATGTGTAGTAAAATCAAGCTTCATTTGAACGTGCAGTGTTTTAAATATTAAAGACTTCAATATTAAATATTCAGGAAATTTTTATTAAATTAATTTTTGATTTCAAGTTTTTAAAAAAATATTGATGGACTACTTTATAATTTCATTTCATCTTTGTTTAATGTGGTACATTTTTATTATATAAATTTTATATTGCAATTTGTTTCATATTTACTGTTATTTTCATTTACCTGTCTAGTGTTCTG